CGCGAAAAATCGATGAAACAACTGCCGAGATAAACCGCGGAAAATCGATGAAACAACTGCCGAGATAAACCGCGGAAAATCCGAGACATAATGGCGTTTTTGGCATGCGCCCCTGTTCGGCCCACTTGCACCGACGGAAAAAGCTCAAACAAAAGCGTTCCGGATGGAGTCTTCTCTCAGATGTAATTCGGTATTTTTAATTATTATTATTAGTTTTTTTTTTTAGGGGATTAGGGGAGGGTGCGTCAGAGGGCTTATCCCCGAGAAACAGGAAAAACGACGACGAAAGCTAATTTGATCAGAGCGAGGAAAAGAAGCGAAGCCGCAGACTCTCTCTGAACTGCGCCGGAATCCGCAAATATTTATTTTGCCACCGACGCAAGACGCGCAAAAAAAAAGAGGAATATCGTTTTTGCGTCAAAAATGGACGTGACGTCTCCCAATCTCAGATGCACAAAGCCACGCAGAAAAATCGACATCCCTGAGGGCACAGAGCAAATTCCAACTCGATCCCCTATTTTTGCATTTCCGAGATAAGTTCTTGTTCTTGGATTTGCCTGAGCGTAAGCTTACGCTAAGGCAATTCCTTGATAACGTTAGCTCCTCTCTCGCGATGCCGTCAATTTCCCACGAGAGCAAGGAAACGAAAAAATAAAAAATAAGAAAAGGAGGAACCTCCTTCGATCAAGGCATTCGATCCCGCGCGGACACCCAGCGCCGGAACGCGCCGGAACGCGCCGGAACGCACTTCCGCTGATCCTCCAGGAATGAGTTCCCCCCTCTCTCACCCCTTTTCCCAGCCTTGGTATGTCCTATTCTTGAGGTCCTTGGTTAGATTAAGAACTGCTACAGGACGGAAAATTTGTCCACTCTAGCATATGCCATTATTTTATATTAAAAAAATGCATTTGATCTCATTTCCTTTCTTTGCAGAAACGTAATGGGAACTTGATGGTAAAATTGATCCTTGCTGAAAAAAAATTCAAATTCAACCGTCTTTCGCACTTTTCTTTTTTTTTTTAAATAAAATCACCTTCTCCTTCATATTCGACGAGGAGAGGCGATTCGTCCAGCAGAAAAATAATCTGCTAGTGTCTTGCAGAAAATACGAAAGTTTTTCTCTCAGAATCAAATTGATTTTTTTTCTGCCATCGTGGCCCTCTGAGAGCTTCGTGGGCAAGATCTACTTTCCCGGCCGACCTCCTCCGCCTCCAATTTTTTCGTTCCTTCGCGGTTCGAGCTGCCTCACCTGCCTCTTCATCCTCCATAGGATGAAGGTTGATGAACCTCCACCGCAGGTTTATCAACCAACGCCTCATCCATTCGCACGAAATACGAAATTTCTTTCGAAGCTGTGTCTCCTATTTGCGAATGAATTCCCTCCATTTTTCCAGCATCCCCAGGAGCGTCCTCCAACGACCTCGATCCTGGGCAACCGGCTCGGCTCGAATCGGCTCCTCGCATCCTCGATCTGGCGCTTTCGGTCGCTACCCAGAGTTTTAAACTCTTAAAAACCGAGGGTTTCGCTTCCCCAGAAACTTCCGATTCCAAGAAACCGTCTTCGTTTACCTTTTACCCAATATTTCTCTCTCTTCTTTTAATTTATCTCGTGGGGATTTTCTCTCCTCCAATCAAGCTTTCCTTCTCGAATCCCGAAAAATCCGGAGCATCCGGAGCATCCGGAGTTCCCTCATCCGTATTTTTTCCCCCTCAATCATCCTCCATACAGAAAAAGTCTCGAAGAAGTAAAATAGGAACAATTGATTGAAATTGATGGATCGGATTATCTTCGTCCCCCCTGCCCCCTCCCCCCCTGCCCCCACCCCCCCTGCCCCCACCCCCGACCCCCTCTCCCGTCTCTCAAAGGGCAATGAAATTAGTTTCTGCGGCTCCGGATGCATTTGCATCTGATGCAAATAAGCATTGCAATTAATCTTATTTTGCAAAGATCGATACGTCAAGGTTAGTCCTCCCACAAACGGCTGGAGGTGGGAGGCCGGATTCCAAATTTGGAAGAAAATAAAATGGAGAGGAATTCTTTTGGGAATTCAAAAATTGCAACGCCGGTTCAATCAGATCTTCCTCATGGTCCATTCCTGTCGATCGCTGCAAAAATTGGCACTGTGCAAAATGAAACGGCGACGAGGAGCCCGTCGCATTTATTCCCGTGTTTGACTTTGAGCGCCTTCGTTGAGATGTGGCACGGTTCGTCATAAAGTATTTAAATTCATATTTTAACGTGAATATTTATGTAATATTTATAATGTATTTATTACTTTTGCATTCGTAAAGTGAATAGTTATCCCAAAATATCGATACAAATATTTTTATGCGATACGAAATATTTATAACATAAAACAAATCAAACGATTATACAGAAAATTTATTTTCTCCCACACCCACACACACCCACACACACACCCACAAGGAAGCCAATTCTAGCTTCAGTTCATGAAATTAGAAAAAAAAGGTGGGCATAGTAGAGTTGAGCCTCCCTCGTCCCTAGGAACCTCCCTCGTTTAATTAACTCCTAAAATATCTTCCAATTAGGGAATAGGATTTTTCTGGGGTTGCCTGGAAAGTGAAGGGAAGCCGGTTTTCCCGCGTTTTCTCTGTCAAGAGGCATTTCGACGAGATTTCTCTTTCTTGGGAGTTTCTTGAAATATATATATTTATTTATTTATATTTATTTATTTATTTATTTATTATTATTATTATTGACGTACTTGCGGAAGATCCAGATGACGAGGGAGTTGCCGATGAAGCCCGACAGCCCGATGAGGAAGAGGAGGGACCCGTAGACGAAGTACTGGTGAGGTGCGGGGGGAGGGTACTGGAGCCAGTGCTCCGGTACTTTCAGGTCCTTCGTCCATGCCGTCGCGTTCGCCTCCAATTTTTGCATGGAGTCCCTGCGGAAAAAAGAAAGAGACTCGCGTGCAGTTTTTCCTTGATGACGGCTAAATTTTTTTTTTTTTTTGCGAAACG